CACACACACACACACACACACACACACACACACACACACGCGCGCGCGCGCGCGCGAAATTTTTTTTCCCACTTGAGTTCCGACCCACCATAGATAGTGTTTGTAATAAATGGCTCTTATATATATGGTTGGATTATCGTTAGTATTAGGATTCGGGTGCGTGTTAGGGTTAGGGTTAGGGTGAGGGTTAGGTTTAGGGAAAGGTGGAACTCATTTTACATTGTTGCTTCGAGGAAGTCGAGTGAATGGAGTGCGCTGGTTGGCTGTGGTCCGGAACTCAAGTGGGAAATTTTTTTTGCCGCCCGCGCTTACAGGCGCACTCACCTATCTAACATCTTATTACCCTACATGTATATATATATATATTGTTATGTATATGTGTTTCGTACAGGTGGTGCGATATCTAACATCTTATTACCCTACATGTATATATATATATATTGTTATGTATATGTGTTTCGTACAGGTGGTGCGATATCTAACATGTACGCCATGATGGCCGCTCGCTACAAGTTCTTCCCTGAGAGCAAGCAGAAAGGCATGCGGGGTGCTCCGCCACTGGTCGCCTTCACGTCCGCACACGTGAGTGTTACACACCCACCACTCCCGCGCACGCACGCACGCACGCATGCATACACGCACGCATGCAAGCACGCACGCACGCAGGCCTGCATACACGCACACACGCACCCACGCACACACGCACGCACGCATGCGCACACGCACACACGCACGCACGCACGCGTGTATATATAGCACCATAGCTCGATATCTATGTACGGCAGAGCAGTCTCAAACGCCTTATTAACTTTTATCGCGGAGATTCGTCCGTCTAGAGGAGAAATAACTCGATCATTGCGCTCGTCTTTCCTCACCGAGTGTCACCCAAAACGGATCTTAATATATATATTTTGGAGAAAAGCGGACGTGAAATGCCTAACGTAAAAAAACTGCCGCGTAGAGTGGCACGCCTCGGTCTATAACTTGCGTTACCATACGCTTCTACATCACCGAAGGGAAACGTGAAGCTAAGAAGGCGAAACCGAGAGAAAGCTTGCGTGCGCGCGCGCGTGTGTGTCTGTGAGCGTGCGTGCTTGCGTGCGTCGCCTAGTTTTCGGGTCAAGTGACAACGCACTGTATACAGAATTCAATGGTATAGTAGGGCGATTATACCGATGATACATGCACATGGCTCACCCACCTCCGCTCATATTGTTGAGGTTTTTTTTCAGAGCCATTACTCAATCCTTGGCGGAGGAGCGACAATGGGCATCGGCACAGAGAACGTTATACTGGTAGACGTTGATAACAGGTAGGAAGGCAAACGTCTACACGATGCACTCACGACGCCTATCATTTGTCTTGTAGAATTAGAAAATAAGAAATATAATTAAATAGAATAAAATAAAAGAAAGAAATAAGAAAACCCTCACACGGAAAACTTTAGATAGTTCCCCGATGTCCTTACGGCAATACGACCATCCTGTCTAGACCTGTGCTTGTGCACGAGTCTGAGTTCGTGCTCGCGCTCTCAAGTAGGAAAATATCAGCGAGGTTACGTCGGCGTCTTGTAAAGGCGAGATATTAAAATTACGGCCTGACAGTGCTTCGTATCATGTGTTACTCAAGTCTTTTGGTTAGCTTCGTTCGATTGTAACGCCTACATAGTTAACATTTAAACTCAATTTTTTAAATAAAATTAACCTTCTTAAAATCACCCTTTTCAACATTTACTAGCATGTCAGCTGACGCGTACTTTTATTGTATTATCCTGATAATGCTACACCACCATTTATTTATTTATTTTAATTCATAAAACAACCATTTATAGTTCATGTATGCATGCGCCACGTTTTAGTCATTTGCGGTTTTAGTCACATTTACATAATTTACTTTTAGCGTCGCGTCGATATTTCTCTCGAACGCGCGCGATGCAAACACTCGCAATGGTTTCTGATTCTTTCAGGTCATCCACGATACTTCAACCAGCTGTCGTCCGGTCTGGACAGCGTGAGTTTAGCAGGAGAATGGCTGACGGCCGTTGCTAACACAAACATGTGAGTTGACGCCAACGATGACGATACTAATTATGTTTATCATGCGCGCGCTTCATCGCGTCGCTGCCTTCAGTCGTGGCGGGGCGCCATGTTTGATTATAGAACCTCTCGCGTGAGTTGTTCCTCGCGTAAGCAGAGAGTAGCGTGAGCAAATTCACGGAAAGAAGGGTAATTCTTTTTAAAGTACTAAAATAGCATGTAAAATAAGGTTAGGTTGAAGAGATGATTGTGTTTTTTTGTACTTAATTTTGGTTCATTATTTATTAGTTTTATTATTTGGGTTACTTGCAATTATTGCCTACGCTTATTTTTTATTTTGTTACAAGTCTAGGGTGGCAGCTGTCCCTTGCCATCACCCTTAGATGCTACGTCCTCGTTAACGGTAGTTAACGGTGAGTATCTCTCTCGTGTGGTTGATATCAGGACTCCTGTCTTCTCTGAGATATCTGTCTGTGTCATCTGGTATATGACCTATCTCATGCGATCTATCTCAACAGTTATATCTCGCGTGTGATATTTCACGTGTGCTTTCGTTCCCGATAACTATGAGCGAGTTACCGCAGTATTTTTGGTCTCAGCACAGAGCAAATCAAAATCTGGAACCGAAATGTTCTATTCAAATGTCGCTGGATAAGTAATCAATGTATTATTCATGTTTAATATCGCCCACTGTCGACACAGCGTCCAGAGTGTGTGGGTCCCTGAGAGCTTTCAACGCTTACCCTCTATTGTGTGAGCAAGCAAGAATATTATTAGCGACAGATTCTTGATCGCGACTACGATTTCATCATTACTTATCGATTTAATAATTTTCTTGCAAGAGTTTTCTCGCGGAGTACGGAATCGGTGAACATAATAGATGCGAATTAGAAATTCTCCTTACGTAAGCATATGTATATGTGAATGTGTATTTTATACTACTCTATATTTTATACTACGCTGCGCAACTGCCGAGCGGCACTTCACAACACACGGATTAAGAAATTCTGTCCGGCGTTGGTTTTATACTTCGCGATAACATTTCCTTATAAAAAGGAGAAATACTGCAAGTGAAAATTGCTGATGACTTTTTCGACAATGGGCCATTTGATCGCGAATAATCTAAAAACTTCAATGCATATAAAAATGGTTCAACTTTCGTTACACACTGTTAAACGCTATATTCATGAACTCTGTTGCCTAGTTTGAACAGACGACGTTTAATATTTGATATTTCAGACAATGTCCCTCTGTTAACTCGTCAAGCTAGTACAGCGTGTATTTTCATTAAATAAAATTTTTTCTAGACAGTACCAAAGCTATCGCATACATATAAATAGACTTAGTCTAATGGTTTCACATGGGGTAAATGAATGTATAGACGTTATAATCACGTGATCAGAACGTGTTTGGTGTACGCTACATTTTGCTATTACGTATAGTAATTTAAGCGATTGCCAAACTAACAAATGCGGGATCGGTAATGCAGTATAACGTTTGTTTTCCCCCCGTTGTTTGAGAAACATACGCTATACCTGTGGTTCCCGATGCGCTCTATACATTTATGTTCCCGTATTTATTGCGACCTTTCCCTCACGCCCGTATTTCGACGTTCATATATTATTCAAACAGAAACGCTGTTTACATAGCAGACATACTTAGTGCTAAACGGTGGTTCTACAAAGGCTGTGTGGGTGACGTCACGCGGCAATAGAATCGCAGACGATTCTCTGACGTACTTGTATATTATAATACAGCATACGGTCTGACGTCACGTGCGCGTATCGATTCCAAACATAATCCTTATGTATTTCATTCTGTGAATGGTGTGATGGATGCCATGCGGTGTGACCAAGGGAAAGGGCCGAGCGAAGAAAGGGAGAGAAAGAGAGAACAGACTGAAAGAGAGAGGGGAAGAAAGCGAGAGAGAGAGAGAGAGAGAGAGAGAGAGAGAGCGAGAAAGAGAGAAAGAGCGCGCGCGAGAGAGAGCGAGTCGCGGTTGAATCGAGAAGAATTTTGTATAACACGAACGCGTGCAATAACTGGCAGCAGCAGCAGCTAGAGGCGATGCGAACAATGTCTCTTTCTTTCTCCCTGCTTCATTACGCCCTTAGAAACGGTCGCGAGAGACGCTATCGCCTGCTCGCCTCTCCGTGGACGACGATGACGATACCATCACCATCGTCGCGATAGCTCCCTCGCGCAAAATTCCGCTCACGTAGCGTTCAATGCGCCGTCTAATGTGTAATCATTGCCCCATTCAGAAATGGCGCGCGCGCATATCCATTTTACATGAACGATAAGCTGAGGCGGTTATTAAACCGAGATGGCGCGCGCGCGGGCGAGATAAGCACATACTGCACACACGCACGCACGCACGCACGCACGCACGCACGCACGCGCCATCGCGGGAACGCCTTGGATGAACTCGCAGCGCGAGGATTCGGGGAAAGGAAAAGAGAGAGAGTGAGAGAAAGAGGGAAGAGAGACAGAGAGAGAGAGAGAGAAAGTCAGGAGAAAGCGAGAGAGAGAGAAAGAGCCAGGAGAGAGAGAGAAAGAGCCAGGAGAGAGAGAGAGAGAGAGAAAGATGAAAGAGTCAGGAGAGGGGAGAGAGAAGATAGATGGGGAGAAAAGAGAGAGAGATGGAGAATTGCTATTGAATCGGGAATAACTTCAATATAACCGCCGCCGCCGCGGTAACGCCTTCGACAAACCGCGCAGCTCTATAGGCGGCCATGTTTGTTCGCGTTTTCATTGTCTCCTCGCCGATCCATACTTACTCGCGGAGGAAGCTCGTGAGCGACAAGGTCAGAGCCACGCCGACGCCGCAGTAATCCTTCGGACATATTACTCAACAATAAACCCGCGAGCAATTAAGTACTTGAGCATGCTGTTAACCAACGTTCTCTGACTCTCTCTCTCTCTCTCTCTCTCTCTCTCTCTCTCTCTCTCTCTCTCTCTCTC